CCTGATAGCCAACCGACGCTGCATGCGACGCAAAGCTTTGCGGTTGCGCCTGCTAGCTATCAGGGCGTCAGCCCATATAGGGGTCTTGTAAAGGGCCATAGACCGCACGACTTCCTCATTCAGGCGGCGAGCCCACTCGTCTAGCCTCCCTAAGCTGGGCATGAGGCGGAAAATGCATGCCGCTGCCCGCTCCAACCGGGAAACGAGGTGCCGGAAACGAGGCCCGAAACTCCAGGGGCCGTCCAGGTAGAGGCTAAGATATTTCATCTCTACCCACCAGTCCTGGGGGAACGCCACGCCGTAGCGTGGGCGTTAAAGTCCCCCAAGACGAGCACCGGACGGGGTGCAATGCGGGATACACAGTCTCGCAGCCCGTCAAGGTGCTCCTCGAATGACACGAGGGTCTAACGGGGCGGGGCATAAGTCCCCACCACCGCCAGGCCGCGCCACTCGTCCACCACAAAGTCCCTCTCCCGTTCGAACAGAACGGCAGGAGGGGCCTTTTTTAGCCACGGAGCCGCTCACATCCCCGACCCAGGACGATAGGTCGGGGATTGAGTGCGGCTCCGCGCTGTAGTACAGCCCCTGGACTGTACTATCACCACAACGGGATTCTACACCTTTCGATCGGTGTACATTTGTAAAAGAATGTATGTGTAAAATTGTTCTTGACCTTGAAATTCCAGTTCAAATTTTTTGTTTACATCCTATTCTACTCGTTGCGAGGACAAAAAATGTAAAAGGTACCATGGGTCGCAACTCAACTCTGGAGGTTTTCTTGGAAAATTATATGGAAGTTCCAATAATTCTGCTTCAATAGATAATATGAAAGAACGAATTGAAAGAAACTGTTTAATTGTGACTGCTGAAAAAAGTGAACAATGTAATGAAAAATGTATAAAAAACATGTGAGACAATTTCTCGGGTATACTGTAAACGCAAAAGGCACGAAACCGTTATTCGACAAGGTATGAACAATAATGTATTTTCCGAAACCAAAATCCGTCAGCCAACTTCGCAGGTTCTTGGGTATAATAAACTTTTACCCAAAATTCATATCTAGCGCCGTGGTACTACAGACACCGTTTAACGATAGATTTACAGTATAAGCCGATCAGGAACCAATTGTATTCACGTTTAAACTGAAACCGGAAAAATGCACACCAAGACAATTTAGATATTTGGACGGTATCAGTCATTTCACAGATGTCAAGTACGTACGCGGGAAAGACAGTACTCTATTGTCTGCTACTTGCAGACACATTATCATGAGGAGAGTCAATCACTGCGTCGCTAATGTACGACAATGTAGCTAAATCACAGAAATCGGGTAAAGAACTGAAAGTGCTCCTAATAGTATCTTGTACCTTACTACAACTAAAATGGATTAATTTTTTAAACAGCGATACTGAATTTTATTGTGGTCTATAGACCGGTAACGTCAGATCATTCGTCATCAAACAGTTTGAATGGCAAGCATTCAATTCCACGCACAAGCCTTCATATCCTGGAAGTAGAGCAATCATAAAGCTGGTCAAGAAAGTTCCGTGTGGCCATCAATCGAAAGGATTCTCGCGAATGGTCCCGCAACTGCCTCGAGTGTCAGCGAGCGAAAATTAGCAAGCATATACCTAGCCGTGACTATTTTGACTAATTTTTTGAACCTGGTTGTGCTTAAAATTCGATTTATTTTTACTGTAAAGTTAGACTATAATTTAAGATTATGGTTGAGCAGTGTTCTTTAGGCAACTGTAATTTTTACAGATCTGGTATTCGGCGGGTCACTTTTGATGATGAACAATATCAATTAGCAAACAGCGTGTCTAATCATGTCACCAACGCCCTTCCAGTGCGCCCTAAGCGCGCCTTTTCTTGGAAGGGTGGGAGACGATCACGGCGGAGATGGAAAAAATGAGCAACCATACTAGATTTCCGTCGTGGGACTCATCGGTTCGCGAACCGTTACAAAAAGAATATACCCTTCGGAAACTCGCGGTTTATGGCATGTCCTTAAGCTATTGAGCGCGAGTGGGCACGAATATTCGAAAAGATAACAAAACAATTTGAGGTCAAATGTCAAAACCGTCGTGAAAGCATTTGTCGTTGGCTGGGTTACGCGATTCCACGCAGTTCGAGTCACAACTGCATAATCGTTTGAATACACTGTTAGGATCAACTCATTTAAGAACTTTTGTTTATCACCCAGCAGCGAACAGTTTAGTCGACCGTTTCCATGGACAATTAAAAGCAGCGATGAAATGCCACAGCGACGAACGTTCAACCGAAGCGTAACCCACGGTATTACTAGTATTCGTGCTTCGATACTTCTCTTGAGGTCCTACAAACCTGTAGGTGATTCCTGTATCGAGAAGATTTAAAAGCGTCAGTCGCGAACTACTGTACGGAGAAAACTTGAGACTATCGGCAGAGTTCTTCAAACAGCTCTGCAGTCAGCTCCGCGAATTAAGACTGTTGCGTCTTGAACATTGAATTCAAGTATGAAGTCGGCCGTCTGGGCACTGAATTTCTCTCGCTTGTTCAGTTGAGAGAGAATGTTGTGATTGTAGGAGAAAGATTCAATATGTAGATGTATATGTGTGTTTTATTCTTAGATGTTTAGTTGATTGGTTGGTAGATATAGCGCAATGTGTCTGGTATGTTTAGTAATTCCTTGAAGATTTGTGAATATTTCGAAATGTAACAATTTTATACATAAAAAGAAAGCTGGACTTTCAGGCCGTCGACCAATCATTTCCGTTTTTAGTATAAAGTAGTGGCGGGAAAGTCGAACGAACCCCCGGGGAGATTGGTCTTATCGGAAATTCGGTAAGGAGTACGTGTTTGGTACCGTGATCTTATGTCTCGGTTGGAAGATATCACGATGGATGATTCCCTATTGGTTGTTTAGTTTTAGGTTAAACTACGTTGTTCGGTTTTTTTTAATATGTATACACCGTACACGCTCTGCTTCTCTCCGTACATGTTCTGATTCTCGGGCTTGCGAAAGCTACCTTTATACATGTTTTTGTAGCTGCTAATTTGGAAAAAGGGCCAATCAACGCCCTTCCCAGAAAAAGGCCTCTTTCGCGAACCCTTATTGGCAGGTAGATAGAAGCGATGCAAGTCAACGGTGGGGGTGATCGGTCGCGTGGTTCGTGTTGAGGACACGACATGCCACCCGCCTTGAACGATCGCGTTCAATAAATATACAATGAATAAAGATAAATAAGATAAATAATATACAATAGAAGACGGTGATTTGCATATCGTGTCGGTAAGATGGTCGATTACTGATATAAATTATTGAACGGTTATAATTACTAAATTACAGTACGTTTAGACAATATTATCCTAACATTGATTACATAGTAAATACTTAAATATATTGTTACTGGAACTGTTTCGTAGCTTGGCAATCTCGCTAGATTGCTCGCCCGTACGCGATCACCGAACGCGGATTAAGATTCCTCGGCTGGGGTTGTAAGGCCCAGCTTAACTTTTGGTCTCGTCGATGGTCGCGACGCTTCGATTTCCAAATTTCTTCAGAAATCGAGTGTTTCGAGTCTAGTCTCCGGACGATTGAGACTAGAATAATCTTGTGCGTTTCGAGACGAAC